CAGGGCAGAAACAGAATTGGAACGCCAACGGTTCAGCCCATTCGATGACTTAGCTCTTGTTGAAAATAAAACAACTCCCCAAATGAAATAGCCTCCTTGTCCCCAGTTAGGTAGGAGCCCACCGGGTCTCTCCTGATGATAGGGTCGTCTCTGAAGCAGCCCCGCAAGTGCCTACCTAGCCCCAGCTTCAGATTCTCCTGGGGGAGGAAACTCCACCCTTCCCGAATCATTGCAAAGTTTTATAACCATTTTGATGATCCTCCTAGATGACCCCTGGTCCACGTCCCCTGAACCTGTCTTGCTCCTCACCCGCACACACTCAGTCTCTTCCTGAGCAGTGCGGTAGCTGTCACCTGCCACTGTCGGCCCCTGCCCACCTGGCCTCTGATGCCAAGGCCCCCCTGCCCCGTTCATCCTGTTTCTGAACCTGTTCTTGGAGTATGGGTCGTGGCTGTGGGTAAAATAAGTACAAAAACGACAATCCTGGCCTAAGCAGAGCTGCCCTGTCCCATTAATCCTGGTTGGCCTCTATGGAGCCTCCCTTTCTTTCCAGCATCTTCTCTCGCCTCTCTCCTGAATTCCCTGGCACAGTGACCTCCGAGGCTTGCAGACCTTCCCTAGGCTCTGCCTCCATGTCCCCACTTATGGCAGAGAACTCACCAATCCCAACTCCCCACAGACCCTTACCTCTTCCCCTGTGTTCTCAGCAGAGGCCCCCTCATCCCGGCGGGATGATCTTTTCCACGTGCTCCCAGTAGCATTCCCTTTGCTGTCCCACCCCTCCGTGCCATCAGTGCGCGTGATCAGCCACCACCTACCTAGAACCTACCATATGCAGAGTCTTCATCATGTTTTAGGCAGGCGAAAGTATGAGGTGATCCCGGTGTCTGTGGAACTTGCAGTCTGTAAAACTATAAGAAGTAAATGCACAGGAGCCCAATTTCCACATGCAGACACCTTCATCCCCCCACCCCGGTATCTCTTTGTGCTGGATCCATGGTGTGTGCTCTTTAAAACTAATCCTGGTGACTAGTTATAAGCGCCTCCCACCTTCCCACCCTCCCCGCCTGGCCATCCCACCCCTCTGCAAAGCCTCTGTGTAGCTGTGTGTTCTGGAACATTCTGTGCCTGTGCACACTCTCAGGGCGCACACACACTCTCCGTATGCTGCTACTCTCTTGCCCCATGGTGCAGTCCCCCAACTGGTCTTGGAGGTCTTGGCTGGGACCTTCTGGTCTTCTGGCCCTGTGGGGTCATCTGTCTCGTCAAAATCCTTGTGCAGTCTTGATACCGGGAAGGGGGTTTAGGGGTCTCCCCTGTACCTGCCAGGCCTCTGAACTGCTTCAGAGAAGGTGCTTGTGAACTCCCAGAGGAGAAGAGACGAAGGAGGAAAGAAGGGGGCAGTGTACTGCTGCTGAGTGCTGAAGCTTCGTGTTCGTGTTCTGCAGACCATTGTCACTGTTGACAAATAGCTCCTCCTCCCCACTCAGTGACAAACTCCCCTGTGGCAAATCTGCACCGGCTGACTCAGGTCCCTAAGGTTTGCATGGATTTTGCAGCCCAGAAACGCTCAGGGACTGGGCTGGTGCTCAGGGGCACTATGCCCCTGAGATGCCTTCGAGCCCCAAAATGTTCCTTGCACGCACAGAGACCTAGTAGCCCCGCCCTCCCGATGCCCCTGTCCCTGGGCCGTGTGTGGGGGCTGGAAGACCATCTTTGCTGATCCCTGGGAGCCCTGCTTCTCAGCGAAGGGCCTGCTCATCTCCTGCCTTTACCTAAAGATTTCAACAAGCCGTCTGTGTCTGCAGTCCACTCTTGCCCATATCATCACTTTCACCATCTGCCTTCCTTCCCGAACCCTCAGTGGAAATCACCTTTTGAAGTCTCACTAAGGATTCTCAAATCATCGAAGGCTTTGGTCATTGTCTCCATCCTTCCCTTTCCTCTCTGTGGCGGGTGCCACGCTGTTGATCTTCTCTAGCCAAAGCTTTCTCCTCCCCTGACTTCTGATGTGAATCTAGGTGCCTGATTCTCCTGCGGCTCCATCTGTGTTACCCAGGTGTCTCTAGTCCTCCCCCTGTCCTCCAGCATGGCCGCCCTGGAGCTCTCGTGCTCCCTTCCTCACCCAGAGGCGCGGGGCTGGGGCTTTGAAGTCTGAGAAGCTGGCTATAAACCTTAGCCCTGCCATATTACATAGTGGGTGAACTTGTACGCATTACTTATGGGAGTTTTCACTTTCCTGTGCGTCAAATGAAGATAATCCCTTGCCCGGAGGGTTATGTGAAGAGTAAATGCAGCAGGGCAGTGCTTTCTGAATGGTAGTCCTTTGCAAACCTGCTTTACAATTTTTGCCATATCTGAGGTGATGGGGCTCCTATTAGGATTTAAAAAGATGCTTTATGTAGAGCATTTTCCGTGGTGCCTGGTGCATAGTGAGCACTCACTGGTAGTGATAATTATCCCATGATGAGTTATCTGTATATCAGATCATTTATACTCTGCTTCCTGCTGTCCTTTCCAATTCAGCTTTTCACTTTTCCTTACTTCGAATCCTATTTTCGGGGGCGCCTGGGTGGCTCAGTCAGTTGAGTATCCGTCAGCTCAGGTTGTGATCTCAGGGTCGTGAGATCAAGCCCCGTTTCAGGCTCCATGCTCAGCAGGGAGTCTGTTGGAGATTCTCTCTTTCTCCCTGCCCTGTCCCCTCTCAAATAAATAAATCTTAAAAAGAGAGAGAGAAAGAATCCTCTTTTCACAGGCTGCTGGTCTCTGCCCCCAGGCCTTGGTGTAGAAGTCTTGTTAAGCCTTACTGACCTTTCTGTGTCTCTACATTTAGCGAAGTCTTGCACATCCTTCTAATCCCACCTCAGCTTCTGTCTTCTCCAAGAAGTGAGACATCATCTTTGACTGCATTCATGGTGCCCTTCCTTCCTTTGAAATCCGTGTGCTCTTTTTCTTTATATCACTTATTCAGCATTTAGGGTAACCTGCATGGCACTGTTATCTTTCTCTTGGCTTCCTATTTCACTTTGCATCTGTGTCTTGCTTTTCCAAATAGATGGTGCATTTCTTCGTGTGAAGGCCTATTTTGAGGCACATAAAGCAATGATTAAGGACACCAGCCATGGGGCTGGACTTGCCATGTTTGTGTGGTGATGCCACCCCTCATTGTGACCTAGAATAGGCTGCTAAATCTTGATGTGCCTCAGTGTCTTCATTTATTAAAAAAGGTGATAACAATACCATAGTACCTAGTTTTGGGGTAAGCTTGAATGAGTGAAGACAACATAGCCACTTACTGATTTAATACATGTGAAGTTCTCAGAAGAGTGCCTGGCATATAGTGCCCAAGAAATGTTGATGGGGGTGGTGGTTGTTACCGATGCGAATGCTTCCTTCTACAGTACTGGTCGCACGTAATATATGTGCAATAAATATTGTTGAATGGATGAGTATTTCCCCTACAGTCGTCCTTTGCAATTTTCTTCCTTTTTTTTTAAAGATTTTATTTATTTGAGAGAGAGAGAGAGAGCACGGGTGAGGTGAGGGGCAGAGGGAGAAGCAGACTCCCTGCGGAGCAAGGAGTCCGATGTGGGGCTCCATCCGGGGACTCCAGGATCATGACCTGAGCCGAAGGCAGACGCTTAACTGACTGAGTCACCCAGGTGCCGTCCTCTGCAATTTTCTTTCCCTTTTTCTTACATGCATGTTGGCAGGAAAACTAAAAGTCTCCTTTCATTTAATTCCAAAACAAAAAGAAACCCCATGGGTTTAAATAGCTTTGACTGTCTGGTATAGAGACCAACTCATTGAGAGAAACCATTTTTTTTCTTGGTACTAAATTCGAAAAGGAATTTATTATAAGATTATTTATGGGGCAGGATGCTGGTGGAGGGGGAGAGTTCATTTTTCTAAAACCTACTTAGCATGTTGTGATTAGGAAAAAAAACTTTCCATTAAACACAGGAACTGTATCAAATGACATGGGCAGCCCAGGGGGACCAGGTCAGCAGGGAGGGAGAGTACACAGAGAGAGCTTTGTACCTGTCCGTCCGTCCAGAGGTTCCGCTGGGAAACCAAAGAGTAAGATTAGTGGTTTCCGCAGAAGGGCAAGTGTAACCCAGAAATGTAATCTGAAATTACCTCTTACATCACAGGCGTATTTTTGTCTTCAGGGAGCAGTGTTGTCAGTAATTTACTATGATGGCAATAACCAGATCATTAAACTGTGTCTGCAGAGAGCATGGAAAAATACATCTGCCCTTTACGTGACCGTGTTTCAAAGAATATATTAGACTTTATAAATCAAATACTCTTACTATTTTTAGTCCAGTTTCCCATAGGTGAGTTTGGTATTTTAGTTACATACACAGTGACGTTCCTTCAGAAAGTGAAGGCTACCAAGACCCATGGGGCTGTTCTGTAGAGTTAAGTAAGGGTGGTGGTGACGGGGAGCTGTTATTCTGATTTTATTTAGCTATTCAGATGGTTCTTTAACGCATGACATTAAAATACTCGTCAGCCTGGGAACAGAAGAAAGTTTTGTCATAGGTTAAAAAACTGGTTTTAAGACAGGAAGCAGGAATCATAATGGGCATGTCTGTCAGTGGAGGTCAGTGAGCAGGCTATTATAAGACCCTGGGATTTAATGTTTTATAAATGATATGGTAGAGTGACTTCATAATGGAATACCCAGTGTGTGTGTGTGTGTGTGTGTGTGTGTGTGTTTGGGGAGGTGTTAGCACAGAGAGAGGAGGGGCGGAGTGTACACAGGGAGTAGAATAGGAAACAGCCTATTTGGCACCTGCTTCCAAACACCAGGGTCCTGGGATATTAGAATGAAGTGTGTGTGCAACGGAGAACCAAGCCTTTCCACACCCGGGCGCTGGGAGGGTTCGTGCCCTAGGGACTTCTCTAGAGTCTTGGCTTCGAGTACAAGTGATTCCAGTGCACCCTCTCTCCAGTGAACAGGATGCATCTCAATACCTGCTCTCTTCTTTCAGATCGACGACCCCACCAGCCCCCTTGAGGAGGTGATTGATGAAGCTGATGCCATCACCTCTGTGAGTGGCCTGGGAAGCAAGCAAGCCCTGAGTACAGATTACCTGGACTCTGATTACCAAAGAGGACAGCTGTACCCGTTCTCCCTTAGCAAGGATTTGCAAGTGGCCACATTCGCTCTCACAAACGCAGCTCCGATGGCACCGTCCTTCCGCGAGCGGTGGTACTTGAATCTCAACAGCCTGATGGAGCGGGCCCTGACCCCACAGTGTAGCAGTGGGGCACACCTGTATATCATCACAGGCGCTGTGCCCTCAGACCGCAAACTGAAGGACAGAGTGACCGTCCCTGCGTTTGTCTGGCTGGCAGCCTGCTGCGCCGCACCCGGGGGCGGCTGGGCCATGGGCTTTGTCCAGCACGCCCGGGACGGTGACGTCATAGAGGACGTGATGGTGAGAGAGCTCGAGAAGCTGCTTCCGTTCAACCCCCAGCTCTTCCGGGACAACTGTGGCGAAACCGAACAGGACACGGAGAGAATGAAAAAAATCCTGGAAGTGGTCAACCAAGTCCAGGATGAAGAGCGAATGGTACAGGCAAAAGAGGGCACTCATCCCCTCTCCAGCACCAAGGGCCAGGGGTCAGCTCTGCTACCTCCAGAGCCATCTGAGGAGAGGAGGAGCTTTTTGGGCAAGTTGAGGAGCTTCCTCGCCACCCCCATCATCAGGCTTTTCCAATTACTTTATTACGTTGCTGTAGGCATCCTGAAGAACGTTATACATGTCCTGTGGTTTGTTACCAAGCAGGTGTTTAACGGCATAGAAAGTTGCCTTTACCGCTTGGGTTCAGCCACCATCTCATACTTCTTGGCCATTGGGGAAGAGTTGGCGAGCATCCCCTGGAAGGTACTCAAAGTCATGGTCAAAATCATCAGGGCCATTCTCCGGATCCTTTGTTGTCTGCTGAAGGCCATTTGCCGCATTCTGGGCATTCCGGTCCGAGTCCTCGTGGATGTGGCCACTTTCCCCATGCACACCATAAGCGCGGTTCCGATTGTGTGCAAGGACATTGCAGTGGGCCTTGGTGGCACCATCTCTCTGCTCTTTGATGCTGCTTTTGGCACTATGGGTAGCCTGTTTGAGGTTATTTTTAGTATCTGCAAGAGGATTGGCTACAGGGTTACTTTTGACAATTCGGGGGAGTTATAGAACTCAGAAAAACTAGGAGGGTCCAGTTACAGTGAATTTGATTTTTTTTTTTTAAATAGAGAAAGCTGGAATATTTTGTCTTTACAATGGGTTTCTGTTCGCTGTCAATTACTGTTATATCTTGGCCTTTGGTAGGGGTATTTGCATGTTTTTGCAAAAGAAGATGGTATAATTTAGACTTGAGCAAAGAGAGATGTTGAGCGTGGGATTATGTGTAGATCATCTGTGGGATATGGGCAAACTTCCAAACCATTAAGAATCTTTCTTCACTCTGCTACTTGATGGACCGCCTGAGATACTCTGGTGTTCATTTGTGATAACTAGGAATTACAGAGAAGGAAAGAATTAGGAAGAAGACAACCTTAATCCAAAGAGTTTCTGAGAGAATGGGAAAGGAATCTTGTTTCTTTTATGAGATGTAAGGCAAAACCTATATAAATGCTGTTGGTTGATTTGTTTTCATTTGTTTCTCTTTCTCCCCAACTCATCTGACCTTGGTGAAGTGCAGACATGCTTCCCTGTTGAAATAACTTTCTTAAGAATAAAGAATTTGCTTTAGCCCTGAGCTTTCCATGGCTTCCAAGGACCTGTAAGGTTGCTTGGGTTTTTTGTGTTTTTTTTTCCCTCCCAAGATGAATTTTGCTGCATTTTTCTTTTAGGTAATGATAAGCATTATGTGTTAAATGTGGCATAACAAAGTTTGAATGCAAGGGCAAAAATTATTTGCCCTTTGGACAGCGTAGCACCATCCTCTCAGGTATAAAGAAGAGATTGCAAGGGTCAGAGCCCCGCTCTGAGTAGGTGTTGTAGGTCTGAGAACGTCCTTAGCTAAGCTTGGATTAACTTGATGTATATTAAATATCTGGCTGACAAGAATGAACTCAAAGGCTGACATATTAGCTAATATGAAAATTTGTACTCTTCAACATTCTAGATCAGTCTTTGTTATGCTTCAGACAAGTACCCATTACAGTAAAATCTCTGACCTCTGTCCTTAAATGATTGTTTTGGTATGAATGTATACAGAAGAGCCACAAAAGAAAAAAAAAACTATTCTAGCCATCTCAGAAAAAAAAAAAATCCATATCCATATATAAGTTTATATAAGCATAAACTTGATTAAGAATCACCATGTCTTAGGAAATTACTTTTATAGTGTGTTTGAGGCTAGAAAACATAACTCTCCCATTAATGCAAGTTTGATTTGAGAGCTAATCCCTGTTTTTCTGATCAATTTATTTTAAATCTTGCCCTGAAAGAGAAAGCAGTATCTTCCAAACTTTGTTCCACCTTCCACAGCTGAGATGGAATCATCTGGATTTTTCTGAGTGTCCTCAAGAGTTGCTGTGAGGTAGAAATGGGCCACGTGTAAAATACTGTCCTTGCGGGGGGTAGAGTACCATTCATCTGAAAGTTAGTTGTAAACACCTGGGATCCAGAAAGGCAACAAGGAGAGAATAATGGAGAGAAATAATACTTCCAGTGGGTCGGTAGACAAGAAATGTGAGTGTAGTGAGTTCCGTGTTGCCGAAAAATAATTGAATTGCACCCAAAGTAGAAGGTCAATTGGTGAGACAATACTGGGGATTATGAACACCAGACTGGTCCATGGTAGGGGATATGCACTAGATTTATCCAAGAATCCTAAGCCGTCTTTTAGCAACACTTCTGTTTGTGAGTGAGACCCTGTAGTGGGCCTTCCCTTCATCTCAGCAGCGTGGAGATTCACAGAAGGGTGAGGGTTCACCTTGGTACTGAGGGGTCAAGAGTCCTGCTGGATGAAAGGAAGAGAATCATCAAAGCAACCAGAGAGATGTGCTGGCCAAACCCTCAACTGATGAAGAAACTGAGGCACAGGGAGGCACCAGGCTTGCCTTTAGTTTCTTTGCTGGCTCATGGCAGATCAGGAGCCAAGGTCTTTTGCACATGTCCCATCACACCTGGGATGTCAGATAATGTGGTGTGTGCGTTACTACTCAGCTGCCTCCTTGGGTTTTCTCCATCGTCCTTCAAAGAGTCTAGGCCCTGACTCCTCAATTGGATGGATTGAGCCAAGTGATGAAACCATTAGCCATCCATGCACAGCGCCATGCTTCCTGCCCCCACCCCCGCAGAATCTTTGTTCCCTCAAAGTATGTATTTGCATGCTGATAGGCCCAGAGAGGCCATCCAAGGCAGCTTGAACCCCTTGGCACCATGCAAGGAACAGGGCATCCAAACTGCTTCTCGAGAGCCACTTAGAAATGCCTTCTTTTTCACTTCGAGTTGTTTAGTGTATATTTATTCTTGTGTGCCTTTTGTGAAATCTGGGAAGGGGTAATAAAGCAAGATAGATCTTTAAGGCGAGGTGGCTGAGCCCATCCGCTCTGGACCGGTAGGGTTGGTTGAGCCTGATTTACTGGAACTGGCTCCAGCAGGTGGCTGGACTGCTCCCCCCCATAAACTACTTTCACTTTGAGGTGACAGTTTGGACTGATGAACACTGTCTGTAGCTCGAAGATTTTTCTGTGGCTCTGTTATGTCCTCAGGCCCTGGGGAGGTCAACTGTTCATTATTATGGAGCTAATTTCTAGTCTGTGGATGAGCCACGCCTTTGGACACTCCTCTTTTCCATTGTGCCTTTTGAATGTTGGCTTCTCACTCACCATCAGCACTTCCACCTAAACGCAGACTAGGGAGTTGGGAGAAGGATCTAGAATGAAGCACTCATCATTCATTCAGTCATTCATCTGTCAAACATGTATTTGAACATCGAGGTTGCAGAGATCAGCAATACGTGGATCCCATCTTGGAGGAGTTCAGAAATCTAGTGGGGCGAACACACGGTGCAGCTGAAAGCTGAAACACAGCATGGGGAGCGCTGCAAGAACAATCCTAGCAGCGTGCTCCCTGGAGCATGGGAAGAAAGCCCGCAAAACCATGGAAATGAAGGAAGCCTTTACAGAGGGTGTGACGGAAGTCAACTTGACATTTTCAGGCTATGTACAATGCTGTGCACCTTGCAATGCTCAATAAAATAATCGTTGACAACTCATTAGCGTTCTATCTATGCATCTATATCATCCTATCTATATTATTAACCACAAAATATCTAAACGGGGAGAATCCTAATGGTTGAAATGAGCTTTGGGGATTATCTGTGATTCTTATTTTTTCCCATTTTCTTTTTTATCCACCTTGACTCAAGCAGTTTTCTGCACACATCTAGGTTTGTTTTTAAAAAATGTTTTTGGGGTGCCTGGGTGGCTCAGTGGGTTAAGTGTCTGCCTTCAGTTCACGTCATGATCTCAGGGTCCTGGGCTTGAGCCCCACAACAGGCTCCCTGCTCAGCCGGACGTCTGCTTCTCCATCTGCCCCTCTCCCTGCTCGTGCATGCTCATGCTCTCTCTCTCAAATAAATGAAATCTTTAAAAATAAACTGTTTTTAGAATCATACGAGATTAGGTCAGTGAAAGAGGCCTTAGAACTACTGTTCAATGTTCTTTCCTCTGAAAAGCTATTTACACCAGGTATTTGTGATATGTCCTCCATAAATAAGCACCAAAGGCTTATTCCTTCACTGATTCTGAATCACATAGGAAATGATAAAGACACTTATTTATTGGTTTATTCATTAGGAAACCCCCACAATGTGGGAAATAAGTAGCAGTCTCTGAGGGGAACCGGTCTTCTCTGTGGCCTTTGTAGGACGCCCCATCTGGGGTGCAGGTAATTCTTGGCTGTCTTCCAATTGGGCAGGGTCTTAGGTGTGATTCTCTGTCTTCTTCAGCATTTCACCTAAGCTCACCACATAATACGTGTGTTTTCAAAATGTTACACCAGGAGACATACAGCGTGGACTGCTTAACTTTCATGGGTTTTCAAGACTTCACCCCATCTCTTTCTGTAGGTATTTTCCCCCAGATCATGGCTTGCTTTCTAATAACTACACTCCAAACCAATTATTGTTAAGCCTAAATTTCAACAAAGAAAGCCCTCATGACCATCGCCATCGTTGGCTGTGTTTGGTGTATAGGAGTCCACAGTGAGATGTTCTGGGGAGGTGGGTCAAGGTCACTTCTGGAGGGAGTCTTGCCTAGTGGTTGAGCCCATGCTCTGGAGTCAAAATTACTTAGGCTCAAGCCCTATAATTTTATGTAATTCAGAATCCATGAAGGAATCCTAAATGGCCTCACCATTTAATGACTATGTGGTATTGGACAAGTTACCATCCAAATCCTCAGCTTCCTCATCTGTGAAATGGGGCTAATTATTAGTACCAACCTCAGAGGGTTGTTATGGGAATTCAGTGAGTTAATGAAGAAAATGAAGATTCGTTACATGGCTGTCATATGGTAAGTGCTCAATAAAGGTTAATTCTTGTTGATATAGCTATTGTTGGTAATAACCCATGCATCTTGGATGAAATTAGCTGGAAGTTGCCAGAAGCTGCCTTAGAAGTCAGCATAGTTCTAGATCAGAGCTGGAAAGGCTGGAGTTAAAGTACAGTCTGGGAGCTGAACAGAAATGAAGGAGTCCAGAGCCCCATCAGTGGTGTCAGAGTATCTGAAGAAGGAGGTGAGGGATGGACCAGGACCTGGCAAGTTGCCAGCACTATTCAGGAAGCAGGGCGTGAGCATTTTTTTTTATGTTATGTTAATCACCATGTATTACATCATTAGTTTTTGATGCAGTGTTCCATGATTCATAGTTTACGTATAACACCCCGTGCTCCATGCAGTACGTGCCCTCTTTAATACCCATCACCAGGCTAACCCATG